ACACACACACACACACACACACACACACATACATAATACATTCAGCAGACATGACACCATTAGACAGGCCATCACCGCCAATGCGGCGGCATGTGCACCGTGCAAGGATGAATGTATGGGAGGAGGAAGAAGGTAAGGCAGCAAAAACTATGAAATGTTCAACGAATAAGGTTGGTTAGAAGTGGAAATGATTGTTGGTGATAAATGAAATTGTGGTAGCAATAGTAGTTGTTAATTTAAAATAAATAGCGAAATGATAATGTTGAATAAATAGGCAAATAAATTAATGAGAAAGTAATTTCGTAAATAAATATATTAATAAAGTTGTTAATCGGATAAATAATTATTAAGAGATAATTGATTTTTTTTTTCTTTTTTGAATTATGATTTGTGTTTATTATGTTGCGTTTATTTTGTGTTTTAGAAAAATTTCAATCGATAATGAACTATTTCGTGTATTTTCGTTTGTTATTCTTTTTTTGTTTGGAAAATTTATAAATTTTGAAGGAAATTTTTTTTTTTCTGATATTGGAATTGATGAATGCTAAATTTTTGGAAGCAATCGATTTATTACGTGATAATAATGTGACACAATTTGAAAAACTTATAAAACAATTTCCGCAATTACTTGAGATACGACGTCGTGGACGTTCCTTACTTACCTATGCATTACTTTATGATCGTTTACGAGCGTTACAAATTATTTCAAAGTTTGATTTTAATTCTTACAAAATAATTCTTATTTGATTTCTAAAACATAAAAGCTTTTATGTGCAATTAAGTGAAATTCATTATATTCTATTAAAATTCAAATTTTTTTTTCAAAAATATAATGATTTCCTTTTTATTTTAACTGTTAATGATTATTAATGGATTGCAATTATCGTTATTATTTCAGACGATTGTCATCATCATTTGATGGTGAAGAAAGTTCAGAAAGTGCATTGCATTGGGTTGCAAAATTTGATGCACGTAAATGTTGCAAATATTTGCTAGGCTTACCACGGCAATATTCTGAAATACCGTGGATTGTAGTAAAAAATAATCGGCAAATTACACCAATTCATATTGCAGCACATTTTGGTCATGTGAAAATTTTAAAAGTATTATTTATTAATGTATAATTTATAATATTTTATTTCATTCATTTACGTTTTTTTTTTTTTGGAAAATACATTTCATTATTA